ACTGTTAGTTAGGCGATCCCTCATTGTCCGAGACGCCCTTCCAAGTGAAGTGTCTTGGCAGTGGATACGTAAGTGACTGCAGAGCCCTATTCTTTACTCACATGTTCTTCCACAGTACAGACATTGGTTTCCAGGTGGAAAGCAGTCTCGGTCAGGTGGGCTTGATGTGCCTTCCTCTTAGCACGTTTCTCCCTTTTGTCCTCCAGATATTCTTCTTCAAATTCCACAGCACTGCTGGTCGCAGCTGACCTCCAACTAGAGTGCTCAAGGGCCAGGGCTTCCCAGTTCTCGGTGTCTATGCTGGTTTTTAAGGTTAACTTTAAACCCATCTTTAAATCTCTATTCCTGTCCACCAATATTCCGTTTTCCATTCTTGAGCTGAGAGTATAGTAACTGCTTTGGGAGACAGTAATCAGGCATTTGGACAATGTGGCCAGTCCAGTGGAGTTGATGGCATAGGAGCATCACTTCAATGCTGGCGGTTTTTGCTTCTTCCAGCATGCTGACATGTTTCCGCCTGTCTTCCCAAGAGATTTGCAGGATTTTTCAGAGGCCAAGCTATGGAATTGTTCCAGGAGTTGAGTGTGACATCTGTAGTCAGTTTTGCAGTCAGGGGAGGACAATCGCTTTGTGGCACCCCGACTTTGGAACTCACTACCTGGAGAAATTAGGAAAGCCCCTACCCTAGAAACCTTTAAAAAGGACCTTAAAACCTGGCTCTTCTGCTGCGCCTTTGGAGACTAGGCATACAATCCCACACTACTGCTTAGCCTCAATGTTCTGTCATTGGCGTATATGTCGTCCCCCTTCTGTGGGAAAGCTTGATTCCTCAACCCCCGCTATCATGAGCTCTCCTCCGCAAATAATCTTTCTCTTTTTATCTCGCCCGAGTTTTAAATTAGTTTTAATTAGTCTCTCTTTTAATCATTACATGCAGCCCACCCATTGTCTTTGTGATTCTGCCTATTGTAACTTTATATTGTTACGTATTTACATGTTTTATTCTATTATGATGTTGCTGTTTACTGTTTGCGCTTTCGGTTGTGTTTTGGTTTTATTTTTATTGTAATTTGTTGTTTGGGTTTGGCCTCATGTCCCCACTGGGGAGATGGTGGAGGGGTATCAATAAGGTTTATTATTATATTATTATTATAAACAAGCACCTTGGTATTCCTACAGATGTATGATATACTATGGTGTAGTATAATAAAGTACGGTGTATATTATTAATTAGCCCTATTTGTAGTAGTAACTCTCAAGCAACCAGAAACTACATTTTTCCACATCCCCCAATCCTCAAAGCTGCCGGTAAACTAAGCGTCTCCTGTAGCAACTCTCCAGGAAGAGAGCTGGACAAAAGTGAAGCCATGGCTCTCCAGTGTAACATTTGTTTTGTTTGGAAGTATTGCAGAGATTTGCATTGTTCAGCTGCTGCTTCTGGGAATACACCAAAACATCCCAACCCAATGAAGTCAACAACTCTTGTGTTGCATGAGCAGTGTGCGGATGCGCATTGTCATGAAGGAGACAGATTCCTGCTGTCAGCATCCCACGATGTGTGTATTGGGTGGCTCTGTGAAGTTTCTTCGTGGTCTCACAATATCTTGCAGCATTGATTGTTTCACCTCTTTCCAAAACATCAACGAGCAGAACTCCTGTTCTGTCCCAAAGCACGGACACCACGGCTTTTCTCATGATGAGTTGCAGCAGTGTTCATGCCCTTAGCATTTGGGTAGTGTTTTACAGAGCAAACTTTGCGCTTGATGGGAAACAGAATGTGGACGCTCAACTCTAACCTTAAACGCATTGCCAGTCGATGAGCAACTGACGGCTGGCACGGCTCGTTCACTTCCATTGGCTCCCTGCTACACGGCAGTGATACCAACTTCCCCCGTAAGAATCCCCCACCAGAACTACGTGTTTTCTGGCAAAGCCTTGCACATAAATTGTTGCCAATTTCCCGATCTGGTGGGCTTTCGTTTCAAAATTGTAAGTCGCTCAGAGCACCTTGGTGGAGAGCGACTAATTAAGAAATAACGTGATGATGATGATGATGATGATGATGATGATGATGATGATGAACTTACGAATGGATTGTGCCATTTTTAATATAAGTCCAATATATTGTTTAATACGTACATTGTTAATGCCAGCGCAGTCTAGTTGCATGCCATTTAAAGAAAACTTATTAACCATGCCGTGTCTTTGTTTTTGTTTTACAGAACGGTCACGATGGGGAGGCACCAGGTGACTTGCTGGCTTGCCATTTTCCTTCTGCTGGTGCAGGCTAATGTCTCCCTTGCCAAAAAGAAGCCCAAGCCCAGCGGTGGCGGCTGGAATCAAGGGGGGCAGCGCCAACCCGGCTACCCCCAACAGCCTGGCTATCCCCGCAACCCTGGCTATCCTCAACAACCTGGCTATCCTCAGCAACCTGGCTATCCCCAATGCAATCCTAGCTACCCCCAACAACCTGGCTATGGTGGGGGCTATGGAGGAGGCTATGGTGGGGGCTATGGTGGGGGATATGGTGGAGGCTATGGTGCCAAGCCATGGAAGCCCAAACCACCCAAGACCAAACTGAAGCACGTAGCAGGAGCAGCGATCGTGGGAGCTGCAGTCGGAGCCCTTGGCGGCTACCTCTTGGGAAGATCCATGTCCAACTTACAGTTTGGTTTTCCCAACCAGCATGATGAGCGCTGGTGGTACCAAAACCGCGACCGTTACTCAGACCAAGTATACTATCCTCCCTACGACCCTCTGTTTCGAGGGAAGTCTTCGTGAGAGACTGCGTGAACGTCACGGTGACGGAGTACATCCAGCCCACTGGGAACCAGACCGCGGATGAAATGGAAATGAAAGTGGTGCCGCTTGTGGTGCGTGAAATGTGCACAGAACAATACCGGTTGCTCTCGGGAGTAGCGCTGCTTCTGGCCAACCCTTCCCTGGTCTTTACCATCACGTTAGCCCTGTGTTTCCTGATACACTGAGGTTGCCCTCCTCGAGCCTCCACCTCGCTAACACACCAACGGTGGAGAAGGAAAGAGAGCTAGATAAAGCCACGGTTTTGTGGAGAGTACAGTCCCCATATTGCACCTCTTGGGTGGAGTGTCTTCAAGAGCTGCCACACCTGCTGTGTATTCATGGATAACACGGGCTTCCTCCTCACACACTCCTTTTATAGCCATCCTGGTTTCTGTTTGTAGCGGTATGAAATATTTTTAAGGGAAGACGAAGGGCTATTTTTGTTACAATGCAGGGAGCTGGCCATCCGTCAAGTGGCATCCGTCTTAATAGATCACTGAGCTTAATTTCATGCAAAACATATGCATAAGGCAATGATTCCACATATTGTTGCATTTTCTCTGGCTACTCCTGCTCCTGTTACTTTGCCCCGAAGAGAATGCATTTCACAGAATCATAGAGTTGGAAGAGACCTCATTGGCCATCCAGGCCTGCCAATAAACAGGAAAATTGCATTCAAAGCAGCCCCGACAGATGGCCATCCAGCCTCTGTTTAAAAGCTTCCAAAGAAGGAGCCTCCACCACACTCCAGGGCAGAGAGTTCCACTGCTGAACAGTCTCTCACAGTCAGGAAGTTCTTCCTCATGTTCAGATGGAATCTCCTTTCTTGTAGTTTGAAGCCATTGTTCCGTGTCCTAGTCTCCAGGCAGCAGAAAACAAGCTTGCTCCCTCCTCCCTATGACTTCCTCTCACATACTTATGCATGGCTATCATGCCTCCTCTCAGCCTTCTCTCTTCAGGCTAAACAGCCAGCTCTTTAAGCTGCTCCTCATAGGGCTTGTTCTCCAGACCCTTGATCATTTTATTCGCCCTCCTCTAGACACATTCCAGTTTGTCCACATCTCTCTTCAATTGTGGTGCCCAGAATTGGACATTTGAGATGGAGTAAGCCATTTCTCATGACACTGAAGACTGGCTTTGAAAGAAAGGCTTCCCAGTTGTGGTTGTCAACTGGTTTCCAGTGTATAATGGGAAGTATGGAGTAATGACTTGTGCTTTCTGGCCTTGGTATCTGTAGGAGTTGTATTCAAACTACCTAGAAGGCAGCATGTCATCTATTCTTAAACTAGTCATCTCATCTTCTCCTTAAACTATGAAATTTGTCTTCTTAATCCTGCTAAAATTTGGAACCAAATCTGCGGCACTGCAGTGGACACTTAATCATTCCAAATATTGCATCTATTCATGAACAAATAGGACTTACAGATAGTAATTTGATCTTCGGCAGAGCCCTTGAATCTTTGGGGAATCAAATCTATGTAAATAAAAATGTAATGTTCGTTTGTGGGATGAACATAACTCAAAAACCGCTGGGCGAATTGACACCAAATTTGGACACAAGACACCTATTAGGCCAACGAGTGATCATCACTCATAATAACACTAAAAAACACAGCGGAAGAGACTTTAAAGCCCAAAATATATATATATATATGACGACACATGCGCAAAACCACATATACACAAATATATAAACACATATACACAGACTGGGCCACAGCAATGTGTGGCAGGGGAAAGCTAGTTCTGCATAAATGGCCAAAAATATCTAAACTGATCCTTGCGATATTGACCTAAGAACAGATAAGCAACACAAAACACTCCCTTTGTCTTCAACAAGATTTCAGGGTAAACATAATCTTTGGTTAAGCACTTCTAGAATAATGATGTGAGCTTACTTACTTACTTAGGCGATCCCTCATAGTCTGAGGATGATGGTCCTCCAAGTCTAGTGTCCTGGCGGTGGGTCTGTAGGTGACTGTGGAGCCCTATTCTTGATTTGCATCTTCTCCCACAGTGAGGGCACCAGTTTCCAGGTGGAAGGCAGTCCTGGTTGGGGTTGGCTTGATACGCCTTCCTCTTGGCACGTTTCTCTCTTTCACCCTCCATTCGTGCCTCTTCAAATTCTGCAGCACTGTTGGTCACAGCTGACCTCCAACTGGAGCGCTCAAGGGCCAGGGCTCCCCAGTTCTCTGTGTCTATGCCAGAGTTTTTAAGGTTGGCTTTGAGCCCAATATGTGAGCAATGTGAATTGGAATCTTAAATGCATATACAAAATTTGAGTTCAAAACAATTGCTTCCAAGTAGGCATGTGTATGGACTCACCTCAAATATCTCAGGTCTTGGTAGACGGCATCGGTTTAGGTGAGGAGGAAGTTATGCTTCATGCTGCTATACGCATCCTGCTTCCATATCATGTTCCCACTTTAATTTTTGCATACCTCACACTTACTGTGCTTCATTTTGTGCATTTTGATTTACAGAGCCAGCCTTGGAAATGGGCTGTTAGGAATGCATCCATAGCCAATAGAATGTATCAATTTCTATCATTTATCTGACGGAGTCGTGGTGGTGCAATGGGTTAAACCCTTGTGCAGGCTGAACTGCTGAGCTGAAGGTCGGCGGTTCGAATCTGTGAGACGGGGTGAGCACCCATCTGTCAGATCCAGCTTCCCATGCAGGGACATGAGAGAGGGTATAGATCCCACAAGAGGGTAACACATCTGGACACCGTCCTTGCAGACGACCAATTCTCTCACACCAGAAGTGACTTGCAGTTTCTCAAGTCGCTTCTGACACAAGAAAAAGAAATCTGATTTGAAAATGGTATCTGTGACCTCTTAAGGCAGACATTCTAATACAGTGGTGTTCAACCTCTGGGTCCCCAGGTGTTTTGGCCTATAACTCCCAGAAATCCCAGCCAGTTTACCAGCTGTTAGGATTCAAAGTGCTGGCTTTAGCCTTTAAAGCCCTAAAGGGTTCTGGCCCAGCTTGCCTGTCCAAACATATCTCTCCCTATGTACCAGCTAGGAGCTTAAGACCGTCTGGGGAGGCCCTGCTCTCAGTCCAGCTGGGTGGCAACCAGGAGCACTTGGGTGCTCCATGGCTGATGCTACAATGACCCAAAAATAATACAGGTAAGGTTGAGTGTCCAGAGAGACCAAACTGGTTTCATCCCACTCCTAAACAGTCTGGACTCCAACAATCATAGTGGGATGAGGTGGTCAGTGTAACCAGCCCTTGAACTGGGGCAGAATATTGCCACGCCGGAGCGACCCTGCCATAAGTGTCCCATATAGATGCACCCTATATGTTGGACTGTACCTATTCCATCTGTCTTACCGCTTATGGCCTGTTGTCATTATAAAGTCAAGATAATGTTGTATTAATAAAGGCTTGTCTGTATTTTCGTACTAGCTGGTGATGACACTACATTGTATGGAATATAGATTTGTAATTGAAATCAAAATGCAAATGAGACACAGATACTTTTCCGAGTATGTATCTTAATATATGCTGTACATTTTGCTAGATGATTGTTATTCAAACCAGCTTTAAATACGGTACAAGTGGAAGAAAATGTACCACGAGGGCTCTGCAGTGATAACTTTGTAATTTTGCATGTGCTTAAGATTGAGTTTCTGATGTTTTTTTATATGTTTGGCATCTAGTAAAAAAATAAATAAAATGTGATAAAAACATGTTTGTCTGTGGACGTTTTTAACCATATAATTTTCAATGGTATTGGTGACATATTCTTAGTAGTCCACATTATGGAACTTTATAAGTGCCATTCACATTCTCAGAAAAAATATAGGATCATGGAGTTGGAAGAGACTTCAAGGGCCATCCAGTCCAACCCCTTGTCAAGAAGCAGGAAAATCACATTCAAAGCACCCCAGACAAATGGCCCTCCAGCCTCTGTTTAAAAGCCTCCAAAGAAGGAGCCTCCACCACACTCCGGGGCAGAGTTCCACTGCTGAACAGCTCTCACAGTCAGGAAGTTCTTCCTAATCATAGAATCATAGAATCCTAGAGTTGGAAGAGACCTCATGGACCATCCAGTCCAACCCCCTGCCAAGAAAAAGGAAAATTGCATTCAAAGCACCCCCAACAGATGGCCATCCAGCCTCTGTTTAAAAGCCTCCAAAGAAGGTGTAATAAGAAATTTAATGGGCAGAATTGGTACAGTGAGAGAACTTGAGACTCTGTAGCCACTTGCTGGGCCCATCCTCGACCGGTTCATCCCGCTGGACGCAGAGGCTGTCGATAGGCTCATAGCTGCAGCTAGACCGTCCACTTGCTCCCTCGATCCGTGTCCCTCTTGGTTGGTGAAATCCTGCTTGGACGGATTACGTGACCCTCTGTTGAAGATCATAAACAGCTCCCTTGAGCAAGGAGTCTTTCCAGAGGGTTTAAAAGAGGCGGTGGTCTCTCCCCTGCTGAAGAAACCAGACTTAGATTGTTGGGTTCCCTCCAGTTACCGCCCAGTTTCAAATCTCTCGTTCCTGGGCAAGGTGATTGAGAAGGCAGCAGCGGAGCATTTGCAGCAATTCCTAGATAATACAGCCGGACTAGATCCCTTCCAGTCAAGCTTCTGTTCAGGGCACGCCGTGCGGGGCACAGGACAGAGACTGTGCTGGTCTCCATCACGGATCACCTTCGATGCCAGCTTGACCAGGGCGGGTCAGCGCTGCTTGTGCTATTGGATCTCACAGCAGCATTTGACACAGTCGACCACAATCTTTTGACCCACTGCCTTGCTGTTGCTGGAGTCAGGGGGACAGCTTTAAATTGGCTGTCCTCCTTTCTTCACAACCGTGGACAGCGAGTGGAGAGGGGAGGCCTGGTCTCTGAGAGGTCCCCTCTATCTTGTGGGGTTCCTCAGGGGGCCATTCTCTCCCCTCTGTTGTTTAACATCTATATGCGACCACTTGCTCAGCTGGTTCAAGGTTTTGGGCTTGAGTGTTACCAGTACGCTGATGACACTCAGCTGGTGCTGAAGATGGAAGGCCGACCGGACTCTGTACCCGATTATTTCCATCAGTGCCTCGAGGCCGTTACTGGATGGCTGCGTGCCAGCAGGTTGAGGGTGAATCCAGCAAAGACGGAGATCCTATGGCTGGGTCAACTGGGCAGTGGGGATATCCAGCTGCCTACCCTGGATGGCGAGGCGCTACGCCCGTCATCATTGGTCAAGAGTCTGGGAGTCCTTTTGGACCCTCTGCTGAGGATGGAGGCCCAGGTCTCCGCCGTGAGCAGAACCGCCTTCTCTCACCTGCATCAGGCTAGACGGCTGGCCCCCTCCCTGTCCAGGGACGACCTAGCTACGGTGATCCAGACTACGGTCATCTCAATACTGGACTACTGTAACGCCCTCTACATTGGCCTTCCTCTGTCGGTGATCCGGAAGCTCAAGTTGGTACAAAATGCAGCTGCTCAGCTTCTTGCGGGAACTCCGATGAGATGCCACATAACACCAATCTTACTGCAGCTGCATTGGTTACCAATTGAGCACCGGATCACTTTCAAAGTGATGGTACTCACCTTTAAGGCCTTGCATGGTCTGGGGCCGATGTACCTGAGGGACCGCCTCACCCCCTACCAACCCCAGAGATCCCTCTTTTCTGAGAACCAAGATCTATTGGAAATTCCCAGTGTCAAGACCTTGCGTCTAACAGCAACCAGACGCAGAGCCTTTACAGCAGTGGCACCATCACTCTGGAATACTCTGCCACCTGAAGTCCGTGCCTTGCGGGACTTATCAGCTTTCCGCAGGGCATGTCAGACATATCTGTTTCGACAGGCCTTTGATCTTTGATATTGCTGTTTTTACATTATTTTAAATTGTTTTTAAATTGTGTTCA